AATAATCGAGGCATTAGAGGTAAATGTTGATTGAACGCAAGGAATATATGACTTATAAAAAAATAAATAATTAAATCATTTTGTGATTATAAACAAAAATTGATATATGTGAATCAAACAAGATGATACATTAAGGATAACATACGATTGGTCAACAAATGAAAGAGAAACACCTAGAAGAATGTAATCAATATGAGACAATTTCTAAATCCTTTAACAGAATTATATCAAATTAATATAAATAAGCATTATTAAGGGAGAATAAATAGAAAATCAAGAGAAATAAGATAAAAATTTGTATATAGAGAAAATTAAACTCCGCATGAAAGACAAAAAAACACTTCTATACTGCTCCGACACACTCAAATTAAGCTGGACAAGGAAGAGAGAGCTACAGATATTTGAAAAAATAGCAGTGTTATAAATTCGGATTAATATACTTACATAAATGAGATAAAATAGAGGAGTTGTATGATAGCAATATGATACAAAGAAGATTAAAGCTAGTGGTTAATAAACGGATAAGAACACCATAGCAAACTACGGACATAGAGTTATTTTAATTTAGAGGAATTTAATGTTATGTCCTCAAGAATTACAATGTTTAACTTTAACGGGATATATAATATTCAGTGAGTAGACCAGAGTGAGCTCTATCAGGCGGAAGTCTAAGTTTATTAACTTAAATCATCCACACGTGAATAATAATCGAAAATTATTGGTGAATAAGGGAGAGCTTTTTTTTCTTATTTTGCTAGTAAATAGAATTTTTAGGAATTTTAAATTTAATTGTCAAAATTGATAGTTGGGACGAGACGAACACGCTCGCATCTTCTGGACTTTCAACTTTTAGTAACTGTTAGTCCCAAAGTCATTGAACCCCAAAATTTAACTTTAAGACCAAGATCTCAATTAGTTTATCACACATTTTTTTTTTTTTTTTTTTTTTTTGCTAGTAAATGTGATTTAGGATTTATTTAATTTAATTGTTCAAAAATTGATAGTTGGAACGAGAAGAAAGGCTGATTTTGGACTTTCAACTTGGTACCCAAAATCAATTGACCCATATTTTAACTTTTAAGCCAAATTTCTCAATTAGTTAGCATATTACAGCCAAATAGCTCAGACATTCAGCTAGTACGAGAGCGTAATTCACACACAGTCAAAGAATATTTTTTCTTAAAAAAAAATATTAAAGATGAAAACATTCTATTAACATAACTACAGTTAAATGCTACCTTTGTTTATCAAAATTCCTAAATTATCAGAAATCAAAGCCCCTAACACTAAAAGAAATCCTTAATCAACGAGAGAATGAGGATGAGAGATCAAGGAAGCTCAGTTTCTAGAGGTCGATATTCAAGCTCACCCAATATTCACAGTGATGGAGGTTCTATTTTAGAGTATGATTATGAGGGAGTGGCTCGATACTGTATATATGGTTTGAAACCTTGTTACACCCTTATCCACAAGCGGGTATATGTATTACAACCTTAAAAGACTTTACAAAATAAACCAGCAAGGAGTACGGTGAACAACCCTTCATTTATCATTAGGAAGATCGATATTAAAGCGTACAATGTAAAAAAAATAGCAAAGAGTATTGTTCGGAGCGTGCAAGATTAAATAACAACCTCTACCAATACGAGGGTTAAAGAATCAAAGGTATAGGACTATAAGAAGCCTTGTTACATTATAACCGTCCAAGCGGGTAAGTGTATCACAAACTTAAGATCTTACAAAAAAAACCAGCAAGTAGTACAAGGAACAACCCTTTAGTTATTACTAGGAAGATCGATATCAAAGCATAAAATATGGGCTACAGTTCATCAGACGTAGAACAATCTAATGAAACAATGTCGATCACATCACAAACAAAAAATTAAAAAATTTTGTTGAGTTCTTTCAGTTAACAAAGAAATAAAAAAATGTTTTCCCTCAATTACTTTTAGTTAACAAAGAAACAAAGATAAAGAAACTACTTACTTTCGATATCGAGAAGAATGAGAGAGTCACTATCAATTTCGGTTTTGCTTCAGAATATCAAAGAAAAATTTATTTGTTTCCCTAATTTGATGTTTACCACAATTGAAAGACACCGCTCCTTCATTGCTATGCATGTGCAAACTTCATATTACAAAAAGAGATAGCTTAGCTTATTTTTCCCTCTCAACGATAATATTTGGTAACTGAATCGTTGGTGTGGAGATTCAGTTTTGAATTTATTCTCTCACTCTCTTTAGATTTTGATTATATTACACACGCGCTAATCAGCTGAATGTCTTAGCTATTTAGCTGTAATACACTAACTAAAAGAGAAATTTAGCTTTAAAATTAAAATATGGGACGATTGATTTTGGGACCAAGGGCCAAAATGAGCGTTTTTCTTTGAAAACAATGAGCGAAAATTATAGTTGACAACTAGCGGTTGTCAATCTATATATTTATATATTTGGTAAAATTTATAAACAATTACTTTTAGATATTAAATAATTATTGAAAGCAAAATTTATTCTTAAAATATTATTATTTTCTTTGGGATTATAAATGCTTTTCCTTCTTTTTTCCTTATAAATATTAATAGTATAAATTTTCTAAAGTAAATTAAAATATAACATATAAAATTTAATGTAAAAAATATAATTTCGCTATCAGTAAATTTTAATAAGAGTGATTGACTTCAAACGTAAGATAAAATAAAATCAACAACTTCCAAATGAAACTTTTCAAATTAACAGCTGCTGGATATCAATTTGATTAATAGTTAAACTTCCAAACAAAATACCCTTTCATATCACACCTCCAAAATTTTTATTTATTGGCAGATAATATTTTTAATTTTATTAATATAATCCTTAAAACTTAGGCTTTGTTTGGCAAAAGCGTTTGGAGTAGTGTTTAATGTTTTGATTGGGTTAAAACACTGTTTTAATTAATTATTGTATTCGATAATGTCGCATTTATCTTTATGTTTAGAGTTTGAGATAGTATTTTCCGAAACATTATTTTCATGAACGTTTAGTGACGTCTATGCCTATCACTTTTCTTTGACTTATTTTTTTGTGACCTTACCCCTTTTTGCCTTTCTATATTAAACAGTTAATCAAACACTTATTTTTACCGAACACTTTTATTTTACCCGCTATATAAACAACTAACCACTAATAGTTAATAACTAACCGCTCACAGCTAATAAAATAGCTACTACAATAGCTAATATCACTAAAACCGCTAAAATTGCCGAATAGACTTTTAATATAATCGAGAGCTAAATCCAAGTTAATAAATTTCCCTCCAAAACTAATTCAGTTATACTAAATAAAAAGATCTGATCAAATATATCAACAAAGCTTAAAATCATTCCAAAAGAATAAGATAAATACCCAGACAAAAAAAAAAAAAAAAAAAAACTCCAAAAGAATAAGATAAATACCCAGACAAAAAAAAAAAAAAAAAACATATCAACAAAAAAAACAAAAAGAAAAAAAAAAAATCCAAACAATATCAACCCAAAAAGGAAGAGAAACAGTAAGGTCTTGAGTCAGTAGAGAGGTTTGTATGGCTGTTGTGTTGGAGATGTAGTTGTTAGGTACGACTCGAGCCTACATCGTGGACATCGAATCTCACATCTGAAATTTGATTCCAATCATAAAGGAAACCAACCTGATTTGAATTGCCTTATGAAGTGATTATATAGGTTGTGGCCTGATTATATATGTTTTTCCCTTTGTGTAGGTATAGTAAGATTACTTCTCTACTTACGTCTATTCTAACAAAGTACTAATTATCCTCCAGCCAAATTTATTGATAAAAAGAATAAATAATTCATAAAAAATAAAAATGATGAAACTTAATAATGTTTTTCTTGTCTTTGAACAAATCAAAAAAACCTACAAAAATAGTCGAAGACGTCTTTAGATTTGTTAATTTTCATTTTTTGATTTTATTTATTTTAATAGTGAATTTTTAATTATATCATATAAAAAGATTCCAACAACTAAGAAGTGTTTTGTCAATTCCGCTATTAGACGGTATTGCTGCATTTAATTTGTGAAATTGAGTTAATTGATTTCAAAAGTGTGATATCGATGTAATTCACGTGTCAGTGATTGGTCTTGTTGTGCGTAGATCGAGCCAACCAAAAAAAAAAAAAAGGTTTGAAGTAGAAATTTGTTGAGTTAAGAAAACAGCCACTGAAACGAATCCACTCACATCTGAAAATTTGAATTCAAGTCATAAAGGAAACCAACCTGATTTGAAGCCTTAGAATATATATTGTGCCTATATATATGTTTTCCCTTTGTGTAGGTATTAGTAAGATTACTCTCTATTATTTTCTAACAAGTACTTAATTTATCCTCCACCAAAATTTATATAAAAAGAATAAATAATTCATAAAAAAATAAAAATGAGAAAACTATAAAATGTTTTTTCTTGTCTTTGAACAACAAAAAAACCTACAAAAATAGCGAAGACGCCCTTAGATTGTTTAATTTTCATTTTTGAATTTTATTTATTTTATATGAATTTTTAACTTAATATATATAAAGATTCCACAACTAAGAGTGTTTTGTCACCTCATTTAATTTGTGAAATTGAGTTGAATTGATTTTCAAATTAATTACTGTTATTGATAGCCTAACTGATGTTTATTAATTCATTAAATTTTTTTCTAATAATATAATATTAATTAAATATGTGTACTTTTATTAACTTAAAATGAATACACGTATGCCACACCAGCAAAATTGTGCCATTAGTTATAATTATACAGCATAATAGATGTGTTCGGCGACAACTTTTTAAGTGGTGTTTAATATTTTAACTGGTTAAAATGTAAAGGCTATTTAAAAAATTATTCGGTAGTATAACATTTGAACTAGTTAGTCAAAACGTTAACCGCTACTTAAAAAATTATTTGGTAACAATTTAACAACTGAAATCAAAACGTTGATATTCAAGTGCATCAATTTTATGAAAATTGTTTTTGAGACAAATTGTTGAACCACATAAAACTTTTTGCTTCTTCTTGTTGTTTGATTATTTTCTTTTCATTGACTAAATTATAATACACTTGACATGATTTCGGGATCAGCTGGGGAATTCTTTAGCGGAGAAGCATGAGAGTGTAACTAGTCAGTGACTTGTTGGGGAGTGGTCCTGTCCTTGCTCTGTGCACCAGGAGTGACCATGCTTGGCTTGAGGACGATACCTTTAAAAAAGACATTGTTCTCCGCAAGGTAGAAAAACACCTCAGACCAAACCTTTTGAGCCACTTCAAAAGTCTGTCAATTTCATGTTCACCATCAAGCAAGATCTCAGACTCAACAATTGGGACAAACCCAATCAAATAAACAATAGCCACTGCAAGAATAGACTTGAAAAATCAGATGCATTTGATTTTATGTTGTGGTTATTACCTGAGAAATTGCAGCATAGCAAGGTAAACCCCAAGCTGCTTCTTTCACTGCAATTGCAGATCCGCGGTTGGGAATGCTCACCACAATACGCATTTTTCACATTAGGCAAATTAAATTGAATAAAATAGAGTGAGAAAATTTCGAATTAAACAATTAAAATGGTTATATATTTATTTATTTATTTATTTATAGGAATAAAATTTTAATTTCCTCCAATAATTCATCTCTTGACCATAATACTATACCTGAAGGATTTGAATGTTTATTTTATATTCAAATCTCACTATTGAAACATGTTGTGGGTCATCCATGATACATGTTCGTTATCATGCCATCTTATAGGTAGCCAGTTATTAATTCATTATTAATATTATGCTTAATACTTGAAAATTATCTGTCTAATCTTCCATTTTTCGACTGTAAATGTGGCTTAGGACATTTTTTATTTAATTGCTGTTGAAAATTAGTAGCAGGTACTTGGTAGCTATTGCTGATTGGTTGAGAACGGTTAGCCAATAAATATTATATGTTTGGTTAAATTTTATTAACCGTTTATTGTCTAGATTAGTTGACTATTGAAGACATATTTTATTTTTAATTTATTATTTAAATAAAAAATAAAAAATCAAATTAAGAAAATTGTAATAAATTTCATATACATTGTTTAACTAATTTTATTTTGACTTATAAATACTAGTAGTATACTTTTTCTGATATCAGCTAAAAGTATTTTTAATAACTACACAGTATAAAAGAAGATATAATTTTCATTATGGATAATAATATGGCTACGTTTGGCAAAAGTTTTTTAAGTAGTTTTTTTTAGCGTTTTGACATAGTATTCAATAACATAGTATTTGAACTAACTCTTAAAAGTTAATATAGTGTTTTATAAAAAGTTAACCTTTAGCTTTTGGCTGTGTTCGGCAACAGTGTTTTAAATAGCTTTTAGCGTTTTAGCCAGTCAAAACGATAAATATTATTTTTTAATTGTGTTCGGTGACATTGCACTTGAACATATAACGTTTTATAAAAAGTTAACCCATGTAATGTTTAGCTTTTATCGTTTTATGAAAAACTACTCAAACAGTGCTAACAATTAAACGCTATTAAAACAACTAACAGCTACTAAACAATTAATTTTACCGAACAGATTCTGTATAAGAGTAATTAAATGGACATCAAATAAAACTAAATTAGTTACAAATAAATGGGAAAAAATTACACTTTTCAAATCAACAGTTGTGAAAGGTTTAAACAACTAATTGCTATTGATAACTTTTATTTATTAAATGGTTAACCAAATGGTTGAAGACTTGAAGTTCAAACTATTATCACTGTAGCCTCCAACAAGGAAGATTTCAACAACTACTCGCTATTTATAATTTTTATTAGATTAGTGACTGGATATATTCCTTCACAAAACCATAACAATTTTCTAAATACTCAAAATTACTTACCTAAATCGGGTTCATAGTCACGCTTATGGATCAAACCAATGACAGTAAAAATTTTTTAAAAAATTTTCCGATTTTATTCTTCTTTTTCCCTAGTGTACAATCAGAAATATCTTTGTTTTAATAAAAAACTTTATTTTCTCATAAATCATTTACAATTAATTTTGATTTTGAAGGACCTACTAACTCTCCAGTGACAATAAATAAAAAATTCACACAACGTATAAATTGTTTTAATTAATTAAATAGGAAAGACACAACACATGCATCAAACTGCTTAATCAAGATCATTTAGCTTCTCCCAAAAGGCTAACACAAAAATAAGACACTATCATATCACTCCTTATAATTAAGGGTAGTTCAAAAGTCTACATGATGTAAGAATTTTTCTGTCTAATGCATGTTTTATTTATATATAAAGAGAAATAATATATTTGAAAAAGCATTCTGACTGACATCACTGTTTTATTCTCGGAAGATAATCGGCCAAACAAACTTTCCGGCCAACCTTCACACTCCATGGGTCTTATTATATAATATACATCACTATATGGTTTGTACGTAACCAACTGTTATGATTATTCCACAAATTTTTTTTTTTTTTTTTTGAAGGAAAAATCTCTATGCCCTTTTTAGTCAACAATATCCTAACAACTTTCTTTCCCCCTTAAATCATCTCATTGTACATAAATAATTATTTCAACAATAATTAACTCATAATAATGATTAGGGCTTGGTTGACACTACTCATTTCAATAACAGTTTTTGTAATAAAAATTTTAAAAAAATTGGATCTATGAATACAATATTATTGCAATATCATTTTTACGAGTCTAAAACAAATTTTGAAAACAAAATTAAAAATATGAACTTTTTTTTTCCAAATTAGTTTTATGCCGCATAAATTATAATGCAAAGACCGATATAATTACTTGTTATGTCGTAATAGAACATAATAGAATGTATGTAATCAAATGCATTTTTAGCACTAAAAATACTTTACGTTTTATTTTGTGTATTACAGATAATCTTAATTTTAAAACTGACATTAGCAATAACAATACCAAGCTAATGGTGAATCAGAAACTAGGTTTTTTTATCCCTAATCACTTATTACCTCATGATTAAAGCAGAAAGCAGCAGGGTCACCCCTATTAGCACCACTAAATGTGAAACCAAGGCCGGCCGGAGACTCTAGGGAGGAGGAGGTAGCGGTGGAAGCAAGAGGAGGAGGTTGCCATGGTGGTATGTGTTGATTATTAGACGATTGAAGTAAACGAACCTGCTTCTTCAAGAACTTGACATAACGAATAGCTTCATCTAACATAGAAGCAGTATCCATTTTTGTTCCACCAGGAACAAGTCTTTGAAGAATTCTCATCTTCTCACTTATTCTTTCTCTCCTATGGCGTGCTGCAACGCTCTGAGGATCATCGCTTATTCTTACATTTCGCCTTTTAGGTTTTCGAATTGTTGATGGATCTATGTCTACAGGCTGCATCGCTGCGATTTTGTACATCATTTCTTTCATAGCTCCTAATTCTTCTTCTTCTCCTTCTTCTTCTTCTTCTTCTTCTTTTTCTTCTGTCTCCTCCTGATAATCCTGTAAATGATTTTTATGGTCACCAAAAAAGGTTGAGATGGGTATTGAACTAGAAGAGAATGGTTTTTGATGTGTTTGGTAAGTATAAATAGGATAATATGAGTTGACAGGGATTTGGTCATGGAAGATTTGATCTTCCATGGACAATTCTTGATTTGAAGTGTGGTTATTGATATCCATGATGAATGATAATTAGGTTTTGTGGGTTTTCCTCAAATAAAAAGAAAAAAAAAAGAATTCAAGAGAGAGAGAGAGAGAGATGAGATATTTGTTTAATGAGAGCTTGAAATGGTTTCTGACCCATAGAAATGATAACTCATCACTATAAAAGTACATAACATGAAGTGTTTGGTTATTTTACTAATTAATCAAAGAAACTTTTAAGAGGTTTATTATGGAACTTGGAGAAATTTTAGGGCACATAATAAAGGATGTGTGTCAAAGTGAATTAGTTATATAAAATATAAAGAAAATAAATAAAAAAATGAATGATACAAGATTAAATAAATATTCTATAAAAAATGATAACCAACTCATATTTTTAAAAACCAATAATATATATTTTGTGCAATGCTGCATGGTGCTATACCTAGCATGGCTCATGAGACATATGATGCAATTTGGAAAAAAAAAATTAAAATAATTTGATAATTAATAAGCTAGGCTAGAGGGTGGCTGGACTATAGCTATACATGTCAAAATCAAGGGATGAGATTCAATTTTTTTTTTTTTTTTTTTTTTTTTTTTAGAGGGGTGGGCTGGACTGATAGCTATACATGTAAAGATCAAGGGATGAGATTCATTGTTTTTTTGTTTTGTTTTTTTTTTTTGTGAACAAGGTCCTATATTTGATAGGTCAAGAATTTTATCAAGGGTATGCCAAGTAGCAGACTTTTTGTCACAGTACTGCAAAAAGATTTTCTTAAGAATTACTGTTTTTTAATAAATTGGGTTTGGAAGAGGGCAGCAAGGGGGCAGCTGTGAATCCTAGGGCTAGGCTCCTTGCTTAAAGGTTTAGTTTTGAGATGATGAATCTTCATTCTATTGTTTTGGTCAATAGTGGGGCAGTGAAGGGTTTTAGTTTGGCTTTTTTGAGAAGAGTTAAGCTTCCTGGATCATTAATTTGGTGCCGGATTTTTAATAGTAAATTGAATTCATTGGCCATATGGGAAATACCTAGCGGCTATGATATCTATATTACTCAAGTAAATATCTTTAGCCAAATTATTTTTTTTTTTTTTTTTTTTTTTTTTGTGACAAGGTCCCTATATTTATAGGGTCAAGAATTTTATCCAAGGTATGCAAGTAGCAGACTTTTGTCACATACTCAAAAAGATTTTCTTAGAATACTTTTTTAATAAATTGGGTTTGGAAAGGGCAGCAAGGGGCACTGAAATCCTAGCTAGGCTCCTTCTTAAAGGTTTAGTTTTGAAGATGATATCTTCTCTTTGTTTTGGTCAATATGGGCAGTGAAGGGTTAGTTTGCTTTTTGAAAAGTAACTTCTTGATCATTAAATTGGTGCCATTTTTATAGTAAAATTGAATTCATTGCATATGGGAATACCTAGCTATATATCTATATTACTCAATAAATTCTTTAGCCAAATTCCCATTTTCCTTTTTCTTTAAATATTCTTGCTTATGCAAAATCTACAAGAAACTAAAAATAAGAAATGATTCATGTCAAAGCCTCTTAACTTCCTTTTCTTCATTAACTGAGATTGGTTTGTTACCTTTAGAGTATTATTTGTCAAAATTTAAAGGCATGTTCTTCGCTAATCAAGTATATGGTCTTATTAGTCTTTCTATTTCTAATAGAAAATGTAAAGAGTGAGAGGTTTCGAGTTCGAGTTCTCTTCACTACAAAATTCATCACCAATTTTGTATATGTTTTTTGAAAGGAGAGAACTACTCCTACTGTATAGTCCACAACGTTATTCCAGTTCATTGGATCTCTTTGGATTTAACAATTATGTGCTATATATCATAACCTATGACATTGTTTTGGAAAGAAATTCTGTTAGCTACAAGCAAAATTGTTAATTATAAACTTTCACTTGCGTGTGATGCCTTTTTTTTTTTTCTTTCTGAGTATTGCAACAAATAGAATCATAATTTCTTTTCCCAGTGTTGCAATTAAAGTATCTATTAAGTTAATTCAGATTTCCATTTTAATGTAGACAAAGTCATCTATGTTGAGATTAGTGATCTTCGCAGTATATGTATATTAAAGCTATCGTGCAATAATAGAGTGAGATTGTAGATTTGAGGTCAAGGGATGTACTTACCTAACCCGATATATGGCTTCATTCATAGACTAAATCAATAAAAAATAATTTTTTTTTTAAAAAAACAATAATTTTTTTTACCATATACCGGAAAAAATGAATAAAATAGAAGTAATTTTTAAAAATTCTTATTTTTATTAATTTGATCCATGAATGAGATTATATATCCTATTTAGACAAGTCTAACCCGTCAAAATAAAGGTAAAATCTTGCACGATTCGGTATTTGTGAGGATGGCTTGAACTTTAGATATTTCTTTATGAGTTCAAATTATGACTTGATTTAAAAAGCTTGCAATATCATATTTTGTGAAATCTCTACGGATGGATATAAATATTATAAAATATTTATTTTTATTTGTTTGGTTTATGAGGGCCATAGATCCGGTCTAAATAATTTTAATCCTTGAAAAAAAATATATTGAAATTAATGTTCGAAGAGTTTATTTTACATTACAATTGAATTTTCTCTACTATTTTACTTGTAGACGTAGAATTTACCATTAATCTTGTCCATTTTCCCACGTGCTGCGCTTTAGATCTGAATGCTTGTTCTAGCAGAATTATTGTTTGAAATGCAATTAAAAAATATTACAATAATTACCAAAAAAATATAATAATTACAGTATAGAATGCTAATGTTTGCTTTTAATTAATTGTTATTCATATGTTATAAACTTATAATCATATAAGTTTTAGATAATCTTCAACCTTCTACATTTCTTTTTTTTTTTTTAACGGATATAATTAAAAATATATTTTTTTCGAATAAATTTCAATATCAAAGCAAAATAGTTTTTTTATCACGGATACACACGCCCTACTGCTTATAGATATGATTCAAAGAAAAGTTATTAATGGAAGTTTGGGTTAATTGAAGAAATATCAATATGGAAAATGTTTGACACATCATTGTCACCCTTGACGTATCAAGAAAATTAATAATCTCTAGTCATATAATTGAGATAGTACCGTCTAATTCAATCTAATCATCTTTGAAAAAAATATGATCAATCTTCTCAGTGAATTTAATTAGATCAAGTTAGACGTGGAGATTCAAACTAAAAACCTTTTACTTACATATTAAAATGAAATCCGAAAACCTTTCACATTTTTTCAAACCTAAGAGGTTGAGATAGCAATCAATCTAATCACTATCCTGTTATATATAAAAACTGCTATTCTTTATTACTATGTTGTTCCTTTCTTTTGTAGTGAAAAGACATATATACCCTTATTTGTATCAATTATCGTTACTGCATATATATATCTTTGTAAATAAGTTACTGCGTATATACATCTTTATAAATAAGTCTTACGGATTTTAGAACACAAAAGTTAAAGTATGGGGCTAATGTACTCTTGGAATTGTCAGGAGAAAAGATTTAACCTAATAGATGCATGAGCTGATCCAGGTTGCTTGAACCAAGAAACAACAAATAATTAATTAGCCTAATTAATTAAGTTTAGGTTTCTCCTAAAATCTTTCAGCCTTACACAGAAGTGCATGCAGAAGTAAAATTGAGAATCTTATAATATATTAAAATATTTTAGACCTTGTTCTCGAGAATTCAGATGCGATAGCGGAGATGTATTCTCTCTTAACCAGAGACACTTGAAAAGGAGTATTTTATCCTTCTTTATAGGCTTACCCGACGCGAATCCAGATTAATTGAACCAGTAGACTTGGATCACGGACGATTAAAATAAAAAATATATATATATCTATCAGACCTTAATCACCAAATTACGAATTTTCTTAACCTTAAGGATGTCATTTCGCATCCTCCTTGTTGATGGGTCATCATTAGATAGATAAAGCTTTTCACATATCTCACTTTATTGAACATAATTAAATTCCACCAGAAAAGAGCATATAAATAGCTAGTAGAAGGCATCATGAACAGAAGCCCCTCTTGCTGCTTTAACTCAGAATGATTGTTTTGCTTGAAAATGTTAATATCTTAGCAGTCTTTTTAGCTATATATGTGTATGAATACCTGTGGTTTTTTACTTTATTTTAAATAAGTGTAACACACATATATGTAAATGGTCACTTCTTTATGTATCTTTTCTATAATAAGAGATATTCTATAGTTTGCGCATGCACTGTATGCAATCATTCTAGGGTTTCTGTTGGGGTCTTCTCTAACCCCTTCAACACATGACGTAACAACGAAGAGCTACATGTATACAGTGCGCACTAAATGTTAATTGGCAACCCTTCATAAATAATATTTTTCAACGTTCCAATAGACTGTAGTCTGATTAATCTTCTTATGTTATGGAGAGTTAAAGATATAAAGTTTGAATTCTCTCTACCGTATTAGTTATTAGATATCATCGATTTAGTGAATATTATTCAAAGGGAAAGGCTTTCTTATTTTATAGTCCATAATGTTATTTTGATCCATTAAACCTCCCATAAAAAAAATATTTAACAAATTAATTTTGATATCTAAGTTGATCCATGTATATGTATACACCTATCATAAAAAAATTAAATAATTATGCATGTTGAAAAATGAATCTCACATTAAGTGATAATGAAATAACCTAATACTTATTCATTTAAACTCATTTCACTTGGGATGATACTGTGTGCTAATTTATAATATCCAATATTTTTCTCCCATAAATTTTATTTATATTTTAAAAAAATATATATACAAATTAATTTATCCTCCAATATTTAAAAATCTTGCTCTATTTTTATTTTTGGCCTTTCTGAAGGTGAATTATTTATAATTATTGGAATTGAAGAGGATCTTAATCTCTTGAATCATGACATCTTTCCCTTAAAATTTTGATGTTGAAAGTCATAATAGAGTAAAGTTTAATTTACTTAGCAATATATTTTTTTCAAAAATTAAAATTTTGTACAATTTATTTTTAAAAAAAAAAAAACAGAAGGCCTTTTTTTATGAAAAATAATTTTTAATATTTTTAAATAATAAAAATTATTTAAAAATATAAAAATAACTATAAAAATATTACATTATCTTGTATTTGATTTAAAAAAATTATAGAATTAGAAATTAAATATTTGATTATATGAACATTTGTTATA